CATGGATATTCCAGATAGACTGATGTAAGCCATCTACTAACAGGCCAGGGCTATAGTTAACTAAAACTAAAACCATAACAAAAATTACTAAAAGGGGGGGGGGGGGGGGATAATGACAAAAACACAACAAAATTAATAAAGCTAACTCAAAATGAAAACAGAAAATATAAAAATAAAATCTAATTAAAAATTATAATAGTATAGTGATAATAAAATAACACTCCTGGGAGCATATTGCTCCATCCTAATATATACTGATGCTATTAAACAAAACATTTGATAGTTTAATATAAAACTAAAGAGTAAATATACTAATGGACCAAAGGATGCACATGTTTATATTTTTTTATAATTAGTTTAGTTTTTCATTTTGCTCTTCTTCCCACTGTTTATTTTTTCTTTTGTTTATATACATCGTTATGCTTTATTTGTTTGCTAGTTTAACATACCTTAAACGAGCTAAAACGGCTCTGTTCATAATGCTTTTATTTTTATTATTTACCTGAAAGATCTGGTGATGTGTCATCTTAAGGAAAATCTTAACCCTCTCTGAACTTGGTTTCATTGATTCTGATATTTAATATACCCCCTTTTTTACTTTCAGCTAAGAGTAGCATTCAGTTTACTAACGTTTTGTGGACTTACTGCAGATGAAGCAAGTTTTGTGGAAGCTCCGGCTGTTGCACTGGATCTCCTCAGCATGGTAAACCGTCTTCTCGCAGGCCGCACATTTGGCTCCTCCACCCCAGTTTGGCATCTTCAGCTCTGGCAGAGACTCTGACATTCACACGGATGGGAAGAGAGACAATCTAACCAAGACTGCCAAAAAACACTGACTAGAAAGAATGAGTGTTCAAATCAGTTAACTTACACAGTTTAAAAAACAGTCTATTTATCTTTTTCATTTGTTTAACACTGAGAGAAAAGCTGACTTCCTTCATTTATGTGGTATGTGACAGGTCAGATATAAAAATAGATGTATCCTATCTCAAAGTAATATGCCTCTTTCTATCTCATCTCTTTGATATCACCTCACTCGTGTGGAATGCAATGATAAGGGTCCAGAAATAGGTCTTTTATTAGTGCCACTGCCAGCTTACAAGAAGTGACTGCTTTGTAGTGTGACTAAAAGACTTAAAATCTATTTTAAAATGTACATTACCATTCATTTGGGTTTAAAATGTTTTTGTCTCTCATGTTTCTTATGTTCACCAAGGCTGCATTTATGTAATTGAAAATACAGTAAAAACAGTAATATTGTAAATATCACTACAATTAATATATTTTAAACTGTAATTTATTCCTGTTATGCAAAGCTGAATTTTCAGCATCATTCCTCCAGTCTTCAGTGTCACGTGATCCTTCAGAAATCATTCTAATATGCTGATCTGATGCTCAAGAAACATATTATTATTTTTATCAGCAATGTTGAAAACAGTTGTGCTGCTTAATATTTTTTGTGGAAACCATGATACAGTTTTTCATGATTCTTTGATGTTTCCTTTCTGAATAATAGTAATTTCTTTCAAATAATAAAACCCCAAACTTTTGAATGGCAGTGTAACTTTATTAATCTCATATTGATATTCTATTATACACATATTCTACTTTGAAAGAAGGAAAGGTTTTGTAATGTCACGGCTATTGTAGAAATATTAATTAGTAACTCTTTCACATAACGGACAATATCATATAAACTCTCAATAAAAAGTCATTAACAGAGATTATGTGTAACAGATAATCATTTGATGTACAATCAAATATAAATATATTTCATGATCTTTGTTAGAACTAGAATGTTTTAGTATTATGTTTTTATATTATAAATTATTATATGGTGTAATTTCATTTTTGTTGATTTTATTGATGAAAGCCATAAGAATTACCCAATCACCATTACTCGATAAATAAAATAAAACTTCTATTAAAAAAAAACTAATTAAAATAACTACTGAATTCCTCTAAAATCACTTTACAACAGGCTTATTTCCAATGCATGCTTGTATGTAAAATATTTACATTACAGCACAAATGATCAAGCCATGGATAGACATAAAAATCTAATGTTTGAATTCTACTTACACAGGTTATACAAGAAATCTTTTTCTGGAAATGATGCTTTCACCTCTGTCCAGCTCAGGGTCCTGATGATGTCCATTTCTGACCCTCTTTGGCGGGTCTTTATATACTGGGCATCACACACACACACACACACACACACACACACACACACACT